TGTGGGGAAAGTTAATAAATTATTTTTTGTCCATCAATAGAACAGTAAAAACTGAATTATGATTTATTCATTAGTACAACACTACACAGAATTAAAAATAAATTTCAGACACATGCAACAATACCGAGGATCTTAAAGACATAATATCCAGCAATATAATCAGTACACACAAAGTTCCATTTATACAAAGTTCCATTTATACAAAGCTCAGGAACAAAACCAAGCAGGACTTTTAGAAATGCGCTTACAGATAATGACTGACCCACTATCAAGGAAAGTAGTTAACATTGCTCTGAAAGTCCTGGAGATTCTTGATTTTTCTTTCTTAATTTCTATACTCACTACCCCCCAATCAGTCTTCCCCAACTCAGTAAACAGTACCCTCATCTATTTAGCATTTCAAGGCAGTAAGTGAGAAATCATCCTTAATTCTGGTTTTTCATTAATTTCCCTACTTCTAATCTATTATGTCTTATTAGATCTAAGACCAATATATTTCCTGAGTATGTCTATGTCCCTTACCAACACTACCACTGAAGTCTAAGCAATTGTCACCTTTCTTTCTGGATTACTGCAACAGCCTCACAGCTTCCACTCTTGACCATATACACTCCATTCTTCACTCAGCCTCATAGTGATCATTATAAAGGATAAAATGGTGTGGCCAGTTAGCACAGTTGGTTAGGTCATGGTGCTAATAAAATGTAAAACATGTCACATCACTCTTCTGCATGGGTCCATGTCCTCTGTATGCCACGTCTTCCACATGTAGAGTAGAAGTAGGGTATGTTCACACCTTCAATGACAACTACACATTTCTGCTCCAACATGTCCAAAATTGTTCCTAGGTTTCAAAGTTTTTAACATATCAAGAACTGCTGATTTTAACATCGTATTTTAGTCCCATGTTTAAGATGTTCTACAGATATTTTTACTTCAAAGCTTCAAACTCCAGCTATGCCTGGGTCTTATACTACCCCCAGAAGTCAAGTTTGAAATACCTTTGAGATATTCTATTTGATACATTGAATAGGCAGTGTGGTATATGCATCTGATGATCAGGGAATGATCTGAGAGAGAGATGTAAATTTGACATGCATTGATTCATAGGTGGTAATTAGAGCCAAAAGAATGGAAGAGATTAGTTAATTATTGTAAGGGAAGATATAGAGAAAATAAAGAAAAGACTGAAGTTTCAATAATATAGGCAAAACAAGATTATAATAATTAAATAAATGAATTAATTCAGATGAAAAATACTCTTCATACCTACTCATTTTTGGTAACATTTTATTTACTCTATCACTCTTACTACACCCCCGAGAAGTAGGACTATACCCATTCAAATCATAAATGAACACACATACACACACACACACACACACAGCTCTGTTGATATACAACTCTCTGGACTTTCCTGTGATCTGAGTTCAAGCCTCATGTGGTGTTTGTCTTTCAGTCACAAAAATGAAGGCAGCCTTTCTGCACAGTGGATTACAGTTCCCAAATCTACTCTTTATCATTCTCACAATTTCCTAGAACAATATTATTACCAGACAATGGGCACATTTCTTGCTTCAGGTCCATGGTTTACTGTTGTTTACTGAATACCTATAGAAAGATAGGAAATAGTTGTCTTCATACCAGCTGGGTGCAGTGGTGTGCACCTGTGGTCCCAACTACTTGGGAGGCTAGACAGGAGAATTGCTTGAGCCTGGGAAGCAAAGGTTACAGTGAGCCAAGATCGCACCACTGCACTCCATCCTGAGTGACAGAGTGAGATTTTATCTCAAATAATAACAATAATAAATGGAAATATGCAGAGACTAAAAAGGACCTCAGAGAATACTTTCTAATTTTGTAATGAAAATACGGTTGTTAAAATAATGTAAACAATACACAACAACATAATAGGTAAAATAATTCTTCTCACTCTGTTTTATTTCTCAAAACTTCTCTCCATAGTTAATAGTATTAAAGGTTAATGATAAAATATCTCTTCTGATTTTTTAAGTTTGAAACTTATTGATCACTGTTAGAAATAAGTGGACACTTCTATTTTGTGTAAAAATCTTCTGCTCTCATATTTTGCACTTGATAATTTTTTCTTAGATAAAATGATAAAATTAAAAGGCAACAGTGGGCTGGGTGTGGTAGCTCATGCCTGTAATCCCAGCACTTTGGGGTGCTAAGGTAGGAGGATCACTTGAGGCCAGGAGTTCAAGCCCAGCCTGGGCAACAAAGCAAGACCCTGTCTCTACAAAAAAATTAAAAAAAAAAAAATTAGCCAGGCATGGTGGTGCATGTCCTCAGTCCCAGCTACTCAAGAGGCTGAGATGGGAAGGAATGGGAGGGACCCTTGATCCCAGGAGGTTGAGGTTGCAGTGAACCATTATCATGCCACTGTACTCCAGTTTAAGTGACAGAACAAGAGACTCTGTCTCAAAAAAAGAATACCTTCAGTAGAAAATCTTGTTGCATATATAAATCTTCTGAGTGAATGGAGTAAGCTTTCTTTTGTTTGTCAACTTTCTTGTGTGAACCATTTTATATAAATTATTTTTCAGACTGTAAGAGTTAGGAAACTTAGACCTGTTCACTCAGGTCAAGACCAACAATATTGGACAACACTTTCTTGTGATGTAGTAACAGATTAAACCATAAACAAGCTACAATACAATAAACTCACAAATGAGGGTCAAAGATCTGTGGTCCACCCAGGTCCATGACTTCCTTCCAGATGTAGTATTCAAGCTAATCCAACAAAAGGCTGAAGGATTTAGGTAGTTCTGTAGAAAATTCTAAAGGGAACAGTGAATGTTTTATGAAACCACTGACTGATTCTTCTTGACAGAAGAAAATATCTTCTATGAGCACCTTCTATGTGCTTGGCTCTGCACTAGAAGCTGGGAATGAACAGATGAGTAAGACATACTTCATATTTTCTAACAGATCATAGAGGAGGGACAGACATGTGTTTCAACTACTGCAATACAACAGGGTGATCATTAAAGAAGAATTATTAATAAGTATATTAGCAGATACTAAAGCCATGGAGTCAGAATGTCTAACTGAAGTCCTAGCTCTACCATTTACTACAATACATATTTGCATGACTTTTACTTCTGTTTTTCCCAGTCTATAAAACTCAGGTAAGAAGAGTAGCTTAAAGAGATATTATTGTTTTGCTATTAAGTAATATTATTCAGCACTGCTTGGCATGTACTAAACATTCAGTACATAAATGTTAGTCATTCTTATTAAATAAAACTATGAAATAATATCTAGAAGCAAGAGAATAAGTAGGCGAAATGGAAGGAAGAAAGCAATATCTGAGCTGATGTGGCATTTATTGCTTATAGTTCCCTAAAATATCACTTTTTCTATAGCAAGCCAACCCCTGAGCCAAAATGTACATGGAAAGCCATCATAAAGGTTGTATTTTCCACTCTACCTTTTGGCTGGGTGTGAAAACATGATTTACCTAATTTCTGACTACTAGAATAGAATGAAAGCAATTTTTAAGTTCCAATTATGCCTTTAAAAAGTAGGGACATACCCTTCCATTCATTATTTTCTTCTTTTCCAGCAGTGAAAATGCGAGCACAGCTGTGGACCAAACCAGGACTAGGCAGTCAAGGGCAGCACCCTACTGATGGGAGTAATGAGCAGAAACCCTATAGCAGTTCAGACAGTTATGTCAGAGAGACGAACTATCACATATTCTAAGACAGGTTCCCCCGCTCCCCCGGTAGTAATGTTTTGGAATCAGAAATGTCTTATCAATGACTTGCAGTAATTTAATTGACAACTTTATTTTTGCTTTCTAATTGATATTAACATTACACCTTTTAATTGAAAACATCTCAGATTCAGTAAATGAAGTAAATATTTATCTTGTTTAAGCTCCAGTTTGCTTCTCAGTCACCTGCAGCTGAACTCTTAGCATACTAAGTTCTATAGCTGTTTGTTGGAAAATAGTAATTAGGCAGACAAATGAGATAATAGCTTTCTTCCACTGAATTACCTTTGCACTATGTTAAAAACAACCCGTTGATGATATTTGTCTGGGTCTATTTTGAGCCTCTCTTTTCAGTTTCACTCATCTGTATATCTCTTCTTTGACAATTCTACCCAAGCTTAACAAACTTAGCTTTATAGAAAGATGTGAAATTGAATAGTTTAAGTCTTCCATTCTGCTTGCTTTGGGTTTAGCTTGCTCTTCTTTTCCTGTTGGTGTGTGTGTGTGTGTTTCAAGTAGATGTTTGGATTATAAATTCTACATTATCTCTTTTTCAGATACAAGCATTCAATATTACACATTTCCCTCTAAACTCTGCTTAAGCTGAAATTCATTAGTTTTGATGTGCTATATTGTTATTTTTATTCAACTCAGAATACATTTTAAAAATTTCCCCTGATTCTTCCTCTCTGGCCTATACATTATTTAAAAGGCTGTTTAATTTCTAAATGTTTAGGAATTTTCCAAGTATCTTTCTTTTATTAGTTTCAAGTTTAATTTTATTGTGTTTTGAGACATACATTTGTATGATATCTATATTTGTAAATATTTGCAGTTTTTTTATGTCTCCAAATATGATCTCCACATGAAAGTTTTATGTGCACTTGAAAATAATGCATATTCCCTGTTGTTGGATAGAGATTCCTATAATGTCAATTACATCCAGTTGGTTGATAGTGTTGTTTAGTTCTTCTGGTTCCTATATTTTTTTCTGTCTATTAGTATAGTTACTTAAAGAGGTGTTTCATCTCCAGCTGCAACTCTGAATTTGTCCATTTTCCCTTTTAGTTCTGTCATTCTTTGCCTTGGTTCATACACATTTATAATTGACCCTTGTTAAGAGCTGTGGGGCCCAGAGAGTGTAATAATACTGGCTGAATAGTTACTACTCCAAAATTCATATGTTGAAGTTCTAACCCAGTATCTCAGAATGTGACTGTATTTGGAGACACAACCTTTAAAGATGTAATTAACTTACAATGAGGCCATTGGGGTGGGCCCTAATCCAATCTGACAATGTCTTTGAAAGAAGAAGAAATTTGGACATGCAGAGACATCAGAGATGTACACATATTGAAGAAATGTCATGTGAAGGTACAGCAAAAGGGTGGTCATCTGAAAACCAAGGAGGGATGCCTGAGAAGAAACCAAACCTGCCAACACCTTGATCTTGGACTTCTAGGCTTTAGAACAGTGAAAAATAAATTTCTGTTGCTTAAGCTACCTACTCTGTGATACTTTACTGAAACAGCCTAGTATACAAGTCCTTTATTTTTATATAGTATCCCTCTTTATTCTCAGGAGTGTGTTTGGTTTTTGTGTGCGGTCTTTTCATATACCTCTTACTTGTTTGTTGAAAGTTGTACATCTTAATCTTGGAGGGGAGATGACACTTCAAAGAAGTTATGGCAGGGCAAAAGTTAATCATTTTTACAATTGTTAGCCTTAGGCCAATCTTAGTCCTATGTAGAGTGAGTAAAATGTGAATAAAAAACTTTCAGCCTTTTTTTTGGACAGAGTTTTGCTCTGTCACCAGGCTGGAGTGTAGTAACATGATCTTGACTCACTGCAACCTCTGCCTCCCCAGTTCAAGTGATTCTCCTGCATCAGCCTACCCCAGAGTAGCTGGGACTACAGGTGTCTGCCACCACACCTAACTAATTTTTTGTATTTTAGTAGAGGCAGAGTTTCACCATGTTAGCCAGAATGGTCTCCATCTCCTGACCTTGTGATCTGCCTGCCTCAGCCTCCCAAAGTGCTGGGATTATAGGCATAAGCCACCGTGCCTCAGTAATGGAGAATAGAGTTAGGAGGACCACAGACGCTGAAAATGAAGAATCAATTTTATAAAATAAAAAACATGGAGGAGATACTCTTAACTTCTGTGTATATTTTTTTCCCCTAAATCTCTGACTGATGCAAGCACAAGCCAGGTTACGGTAACAATGAGAGAACAGGACTGAGGTTTGACCTGCTACCCCAAAGATAGAGATTTAAATTTAAGTCCAACTACACCAATTCCTTGCTAAGGAAGGAAAATTGGCCAAGTGCAGTGGCTCACGTCTGTAATCCCAATGCTTTGGAAGGCTGAGGGGAGCAGATTGCTTGAGGCCAGTTTGAGACCAATCTGGCCAACATGGCAAAATCCCATCAAAAATACAAAAGATTAGCTGGTGATGGTGGCACACACCTGTAACCCCAGCTGACAGAGGAAATCCATTAAAAAAGAGAGAGAGAGAGAGAGAGAAAGAAGAAAGAGGAAGAAAGAAAGAAAAAAAAGAAAGAGAGAGAGAAAGAAAGAACACTTTTTTTGGAGAAATATAAGAGAAAAGAGACTTCTCAATATAACTTTTACAATTATGGTATATAATCTCAAGTGACTTACATGAAAAACCAGAAAAAGATGACCAATTCTAAAAAAAGGGCCATCAATGCAGCCCAATATAAGGATGATGCAGAAGTTGGAAGTATCAAGAAAATATTTTAAAGCAGCTGTTAAAACAGTGCTTAATGACGTGATAGAAAACATGCTTGCAGACAATGAAAAAATAGGATATCTCAGCAAAGAAAGGCAGTAGGAAAAAAATAGCCAAATGAAATTCAGAACTGAGAAATGAAGTAAAATATTTTATATAAAAGCCATTACTGGTTATACTTAAAAGCAAGGATTTAACAGAAAAACAAGTTAGTGGACTTGAAATTGTCCAATATGAAGAAAATTGTTGGAAAACTTTCAGAGCCTCAAGGAGTTGTGGAATATTATTAAAACATATGACATGCATAGAATTGAAGTCCCAAAACTCAAGAAAAGAGAAAGAATAAGGCCAAAAAAATTGAAGATATAATGATTGCATTTTTTCCCAAATTGTTTAAATCCATAAATTTACACTTTCAAGAAAATCAGCAAGCCCTAAGCAAGGTAAATACAAAGAAATTCGTATGTATGAATAAAATAGCCAAACTCCTTAAAAGTCAAACATAAAAATCTTGAAAGCAGTTTTTGTGCATTACCTGCAGGAAAACAATTATGCAAAAATCCCTCATACTGATTATAAACCATGGGGGCTAGAATACAGTAAAAAAAAATCTTTAAATTGTCAAAAGAAATAGTGACTGTGCACAAAGTATTAGATATTCAGTGAAAAATATTCCAAAGATTGTGGCAAATTTAAGGCATTTTCAGATAACTGAAAGAATCCCTTGACAGCAGATAGTCACTATAGCTAATGTTAAAGGAAGTTTTTCAGGCTGATGGGTAATGTTTCTAAGTGATAACTTAAATATTCAGGGAAGAAGTACATCAAAAATGACAAACATCTAGATAAACATAAAAGTATAAGGTGAGCAACACAGCTTCAATAGACCTTGGTCTTGCTTACAAATTTAAGTTCATACTGTTGTCTATTTTATGAAGTTCTTTCTTAGACTGATGTAATGCACCTAAATCAAACTCTTTCTGTATAAGTGTACAATTATTGTGAAAGGTAGAGCAACTAGGTAGCTGAAATATTTTAGGACATATTAAATAAAAACTACATTTTCATTTCTCTGATAGGCCAGATACCTTGAAGCAGTGTTTCACAACCATTTTTATATCATAGATATAAAAAATAGATTTCTAAAGTAGAACAAGATAAATAAATAATAGTTTATTTATAGTCTATCAAATAGCAACTTGGATTTGTATAGCTGAGGAACTTCAGGGCATAAAAATATTAAGTTAGGGCATGCAAAGAAATAACTTTGGGAGAAAGTTCACTGTTGTTTGAAAATGTTTTCACTATAAGACAATTATAACCTGAAATAATTAGGTTAAACATATTGCTTTCCTTGTAAGAAATGAGGAAATTGATAAGGAAGGCACTTAGCTAGAAGCAGAATGGGGAGCAACATTTGGGTAAATGAGTTCAAAAGCAAAGTGTCCCTTCAGGGTAATAACCTATATATTGGTGCTGGGATTCTAAGGCCAAGCTCTGGGTTTACCAAAAGGTGATAGAAGAAATCTGAGACTTTCATCAGCCTGAAACCTTAAAAAGGGCCTCAAGACATCCAAATCATTAGCTACACCCTGCCTTCTTATAGATGACAACCCAGTTAATCTCTGGAAGAAATAATCTTTAATTTTTCCTTATGAATCCCATTAATGGAGCTCAACAAAATAAAAAAAAATGTCAAATACTTCAGGAAACAAGCCAACATATCAACAGGAAATATGAGGAATGAATTTGGTCACCAAGGACTTTAGATATTTAAATAATCCTATGCATTATAAATGATAATATTTAGATGATTTTAAGAAATAAAAGAAGAAAAAATTGATCACATAACAAAAAACCACCAAAAGCTAATAAGTTTGAAAATACATCCTTAGAAACAAAAATTATTATCATTGAAATTAGAAACTCAGTGAATGAGAGCAGATTAGACACAGCAAAAGGGGTAATTTGTGAATGGAAAGATATATCTGAAAATATTGCTAAGAATTCAGCACAAACTGCAAGGACAAAATGTGAATTTAGGTGAAATAGAGGATAGAAAGCAAAGGCCCACACTGCACATCTAATTTGAGTCCCAGAAAGGAAGTAAAAAGAAAGTAGAGAAAGAATTTGGAATGATGGTTGAATAGATTGACTACGTTTTACTTTACATATTTTAAGTCTATTTTACTTTTTTAAGATCAAACACATTTAGATTTGGTGTACTTTCCTAATGAATTGAAAGTAGAACCTTAGGAGAGGTGCCTTATACATCTGTAACAATAGAATGAGGATAAGAAAACAGATTTGGAAGCATTTAAAGCCAGAGCTTTATTATCTTCCTCTGTTGCAGGTATAAGGAGTATAAGAAAGTGCTTTTGCTTTGTGGATAGTATCTCACAAAGTTAAGAAAAATATTATGTTATATGAGATAGTTCTTAGACTGTAGTTGGGAGGTCCAGTTTATAATTTAGACAGTGAATAAGTCACTAATAGAACTGTCTTAGGATGTCATAAAATGATATGTAATGTTTTGGTATAGAATTAAAATGTAAATTAAAAAATTAAAATCAAATAATCTAAGAAAATATAAAGGCGATCTAATGAAATTTAAAAGTATGCAAATACATTCACATAAGAGAGCAAAAGAAAGACTAATGAAATCACAATTTAAATATTTTAATATATAGTAACATTAAAAAATTGAAAAACTATCTTCAGTGACCACGAATTTTAAGAGGAAAGAAATTTAAACCCCAATCTGTACTTGTGCATACCCCAATAAAGAATAAAATACAATTATTTCAATGAAATACTTTTAAATTTGTTTAAAATTCACTGTATAAGCTCATTTGCCTCATTTTGCTTTGGCCCTTTATTTTATTTATTTATTTATTTATTTATTTTATTGCATTTTAGGTTTTGGGGTACATGTGCAGAACATGCAAGACAGTTTCATAGGTACACACATGGCAGTGTGTTTTGTTTCCTTTCTCCCCTTCACCCACATTTGGCATTTCTCCCCAGGCTATCCCTCCCCACCTCCCCCTCCCCCCACTGGCCCTCCCCTTTCCCCCCCAATAGACCCCAGTGTTTAGTACTCCCCTCCCTGTGTCCATGTGTTCTCATTTTTCCTCACCTGCCTATGAGTGAGAATATGCGGTGTTTCATTTTCTGTTCTTGTGTCAGTTTGCTGAGAATGATGTTCTCCAGATTCATCCATGTCCCTACAAACAACATGAACTCATCATTTCTGATTGCTGCATAATATTCCATGGTGTATATGTGCCACATTTTCCCAATCCAGTCTATCATCAATGGGCATTTGGGTTGATTCCAGGTCTTTGCTATTGCAAACAGTGCTGCAATGAACATTCGTGTGCATGTGTCCTTATAGTAGAATGATTTATAGTCCTTTGGATATATATCCAGTAATGGGATTGCTGGGTCAAATGGAATTTCTATTTCTAAGGCCTTGAGGAATCGCCACACTGTCTTCCACAATGGTTTAACTAATTTACACTCCCACCAGCAGTGTAAAAGTGTTCCTTTTTCTCCACATCCTCTCCAGCATCTGTTGTCTCCAGATTTTTTAATGATCGCCATTCTAACTGGCATGAGATGGTATCTCAATGTGGTTTTGATTTGCATCTCTCTAATGACCAGTGATGATGAGCATTTTTTCATATGATTGTTGGCCTCATATATGTCTTCTTTTGTAAAGTGTCTGTTCATATCCTTTGCCCATTTTTGAATGGGCTTGTTTGTTTTTTTCCTGTAAATCTGTTTGAGTTCTTTGTAAATTCTGGATATCAGCCCTTTGTCAGATGGGTAAACTGCAAACATTTTTTCCCATTCTGTTGGTTGCCGATTCACTCTAGTGACTATTTCTTTTGCCGTGCAGAAGCTGTGGAGTTTGATTAGGTCTCATTTGTCTATTTTGGCTTTTGTTGTAAATGCTATTGGTGTTTTGTTCATGAAGTCCTTGCCTACTCCTATGTCCTGGATGGTTTTGCCTAGATTTTCCTCTAGGGTTTTTATGGTGCCAGGTCTTATGTTTAAGTCTTTAATCCATCTGGAGTTTATTTTAGTGTAAATAAATACACTAAAGGGGTCCAGTTTCTGCTTTCTGCACATGGCTAGCCAGTTTTCCCAACACCATTTATTAAACAGGGAATCCTTTCCCCATTGTTTGTTTTTGTCAGGTTTATCAAAGATTGTATGGTTGTAGATATGTTGTGTTGCCTCCGATGCCTCTGTTTTGTTCCATTGGTCTATATGTCTGTTTTGGTACCAGTACCATGCTGTTTTGATTACTGTAGCCTTGTAGTATAGTTTGAAATCCGGTAGTGTGATGCCCCCCGCTGTGTTATTTTTGCTTAGAATTGACTTGGCTATGCGGGCTCTCTTTTGGTTCCATATGAAGTCCATGGTGGTTTTTTCCAGTTCTGTGAAGAAAGTCAATGGTAGCTTGATGGGGATAGTGTTGATTCTGTAAATTACTTTGGGCAGTATAGCCATTTTCACGATATTAATTCTTCCTAACCATGATTATGGAATGTTTCTCCATCTGTTTGTGTCCTCTCTGACTTCCTTGAGCAGTGGTTTGTAGTTTTTCTTGAAGAGGTCCCTTACATTTCTTTGGCCCTTTATATATTAATATTTTTATCATAATTAAAATGATTCCATGAAAAGCAGTAATCTAAATCATCCCTCTATTGTGATAGAGAAGTTTCTCCTCTAATCAGATATATTCAAAGAACATAGAGGCTACTGCTCATGGTTGGTTACTCAGGAATTTGGGAATACAAAATAATATTACCTACTGATGTTATTGTTCTAGATATATTTTCTCTGGTACAGTTTTTCTCTTTTGGTTTATTATCCAATTTAACATTGTATAATGAATAGTGTGTCGCACAGTGTTGAATTGGACAAATAATGAAAGAAGAAACAATTTTTCTAACTAGATACAAATCACAAAACCATTAGGTTGTAGTTATTCCATAAAGTTCAAAAATATGGAAATTCCATATAAACAATTAAATGACTAAAAATTTAAGAGAAA